GTCTCAAGTCATTTGTGTAGAGACACTGAGACAGATGTGTAGGTGCTCTATAGAAGATGGAGTCCATTGAACGCGATCAACTATAGAATTCTTGTATGGAAGTTTTATTCACAAGTGTCAAACAAAGAATTCTAAGTTGTGATAATGCAAATTAATCCTTAGACCTGAGACATCACAGTTGTCTTGTGTATATGTTGTTTCTCTTTGAGAGCACTATACGGTCGTATCAAAATGATGTGACTTAAAAGTGTTCCTCAGGATTCTCAGCATGTATGCAGAGACAGGTGAATGTACAACAATGAATCTTTCCTATTAGTAAGAAGAGTGAATACTCCAAAGATATGATTCGTGAATCTTTGGCCAAAGTATTGGATGGAAATTGAAACAAGAAAGTTTTCAATTTCATCAAATTGAATCATATAACCAAGAGATGTCATATTAGGGATTTTGACACAAGTTTACCATATCTCGAGAATATGACATAAAGTATTGAATTAGAGAAAGATCGAATTGCATTGTAATCACAAACTGACTAGGTTCTCTAAATGAATTCTTTTTAGCTTGGGTAGCCATGACATACTGCTAGGTGTCACTCATGGTTTGTGGAAGCCCTGTAAGGACTAATTATAATTAGCCTTCGCCAATAAGGAGAATTGTATGGAGGGATATAATTCACACTGATTCAGAGTGAACCATTCATACCCACTGCCTCTCTAATTATAACCTATAAGATCGCATACCGAAAAGGAATTGATGGGAAATTATGAAGAGAATGAATGATTTTGAGACTTAGTCAAAGTCAACGTGAAAGTCAAAGGTTAAAGGTCAAATAGTTGACCCGACACTTGACATGGTCAACTAAAGATGACCGGGACTAACACTTGTTAGACAAGTGAGTGATTGAATTAGGTAGCGTTTGGTAGTGCTTAAATTTTAAAAAAAGCTGCTTTAATAAAAATTTTGCCAAACCATGGTGTTTGGTAAACATCAGAAATCAGCTTTAAAAAAAATTGCGGTAAATGACTGCTGTTTTTCCAAAGCAGGCATAACCCAGCTTTTAAAAGCTGCTTTAAAAAAAATTTAACTGGTGGTTTAATGAATGTTTTACTTTCCCATAATGCCCTCACTTATTTTTCAAATAGACAGTCCTTGTCCCTCCAATACAAATCGAGCGACACAGCAAACTACTATTCTTCTTCATTCTGCAGACTCCCATTTTCTTCTTCATTCTGTTCATTCACAACCATCCCTCTTTCTATTCGTTCTAACTCACATCCCTTTTTCTATTCATTGTCTGCAACAAACCCCACCCAAGCTCCAACCACAACCACAACGTCCGACCATGGGCTGTAGATGACGACGATGATAGACAAGCACTGATGGCAGACGACGATGACAGCGATGACAGACGATGAAGACTCCACAGCTTGGACTGTAGACGACGATGACGACTGTGCAAGGAGGACGACTTCTCTGGGCAGAGGGAGAAAAATATAACAAGGAGAATGAGTAGAAGAGAAAAATTGCAGAGAGAAATGAGAAGAAGCAGGTGACAGAAGGAAGAAGAGAAGAAGATGAAAAAGAGGCAGTAGAAAGAGATGGCAGAAAAAAAAAAAAAAAGGGGGAAAAAAAAAGCCCCAAACAAAAAAAAAAAAAAAAAAAAAAAGAAGAAAAGAAGACGAAAATGTTCTGACTCAAAAAAGTGTAAATTAAAAAAGAAAAAAAATGTAGCTTAAAAAGAAATAAGAAAACAACAAATAATTTCATCATGATTCATGTCCTTTTTTGTCATTATACACACTAAAATCAATTTTGATAAAAATTTACCAAACACTTTGATTACTCACAGCACTTTTTCAAATATAGTTTACCAAACGCCTAACTGATTTTTTTCACAGCTGATTATTCTTGCAGCCCAGTAGAAGCAGTTTTTTTAAAAGCACAGCAACACCAAACTAGCCCTTAGTCAAGTCACTAGAGTAATTAAATTGATTAGATTAATTTAATTATTCAATTAAAGTTTTGAAACTTTAATTAAAGGTCCCATATGACTTGGAAATTCAAAAGGGATTTGACCATATGGACTTAGGCACATATGTGACACATTATAGGATTAATGTGTTGGATTAAGATAGCAAAAGGTGACACACAAAAAGAAGGTGTGGCTACACTAGGGCTTGGGGGCATTTTTGTTACTCTTATGACATTTTTGATCCTATAAGTGTGTAGCTATGGAATCCTATCATCCTAGGGTTTTTCATGTAGGTGAAATTGGAAGAGAGAAAACATCAAGCTCTCTCTACCTAACTCCTTGAATCTATCACATCAAGTGAAGGTGCTAGCACCACTCTTCACTTGTTGTCTACTCATTCTCTCATCCCATTCAATCCTTGGTGAAGAGCTTTAGGGAGGTGCATATCTTTGTACCTATTTGGAGAGGTACAAGGTGGAGAATCAACATCAAAGGGAGAGCCAACAACAAAGGGACCACTCCCTCTACTTGAACACCATTCTTGGTTTCAAGATTTGCTCCAAGGGTATGAACATCTTATCCTTCTCTCAAATAGGATTTAGAGAGTCTTTGGTGCACACTTTCATAGACTTACAAAGATTGGGACCAAATGAGACTTGCATGAATCCCTAGTTTATTTAATGCTCTTTCTTTGATTTCATATTAGATATGGCAGGCTAGGTGATTTATACTCTCAAAGTTTGGTTGTAGAGCTTTAGAAATCTCTACACAATCTCTACACAACACCATTCCCACAATATTCCCTTCAAAAGAATGATGGGTCATCATTTAGTACATTGCCTTCTCGCACTTCTTTGTCTACTCCAATATGTGATGAGAAAAATCTTCTCGAGTCTCCCATTGTCAAGCCTCCAGTTGAAAGAGTTGAATCTCAAAGAATCGATGATGATCATGATTTTAATATCAAATATCTTGAAAGTTATCTAGAATTACGTTGTCTATTATACAAATATCTAGTGAATGCACAAAATAATGTGCTTAGAGCATATTCTTTTAGGACCATGTCAACCCGAGTTAGAAGATTATCCAAGTCACTTAGAAGGGCGGGACTTTCATTGATTTAATAAAAAGTGGTTTGGCCAATTCACTTGGCTTGAATATTCAGTTGTTAATAATAAGGTATTTTGTTTTCCTTTCTTCCTTTTTGACATGAATCAGTCACACCAAACCTTTATTGTTGATGGGTATAAAAAAATGGAAGAGAATTGGTGGGAATCAATGTGCATTAATGAAATTCACTAGTATAGTCGAGTTTAGTATGTAAATTTTGCCCATTCGGCTTTTGAATCCTAGAACTGTCACTGACTGGTCATATATATTGCGAAGTTCATTGAAAACAAGAGCTATCATTCAATCATCAAACAAAAATTAATACATTAAACCTTAATGAACTCATAAGCCAACTTCAAAGCTTGACATCACGCCCATGCTAGTGACATGCCTCCGAAAAACTGAATTAGGAACAACTGAATTTATTCAATGGATCAACTATATCTATGTGATGTTAATATAACCCACACTGGTTTGTCCCTCTATGAACTTCTCCCTTACAAGCAAATACTTGACATCCATATGATTAACGATTGAACTGGTCTTTCAATGGAGCTAACCACTTTCAAGTCTTGATGCTAGGCCAGCTGTTTAAACCAATGTTTTGAAAGGCGAGGCATTAAAGTGAGGCGTTTTATGTTTACAAATCGAGGCGTAAGCCTTGAACAATTCATTATTACAAATATAATAAAAATATGTTAGTATATTAATAATATGTAAAACATATGATCCATATATGTTGTGAGGTCGTTGATTCATAAATTGAAACATCTCAAACCTCTTTGTAAGCCCTAAATTGATTTAGACAGTCATAGATTGGATATGAATTCAAATTTATAAGATAGGATTCACATCTTGTTTGAATAGATTGAAAGGGAGGCTTCCGTTAGAAATAGGTGAGTGGATATGGCTGCGAGCAAGTCAAAATTGAAACAAAAGGAAATCTGATTTTTGTGAACCTTCTATTGGGTGAGAGCGGAAGATAAAAGGTACGAGGACTAAGTGATATAATAATTTTTTATTGTGAAGGAACGGAAGAAGTGGGACCTGAGGCTTATGTTATGTTCTTAAACTTAAAAACCATAGATGATGAAACACAGGCGTTCTGCTTGACTCTTTAAACACAAAAACTATACCGTATGGGATCGTTTTGAGAGAAATAAAGTTAGGTTTCATCGTCTTCTTCTCTGCTCTGCAACGCCTCTACAATTTCAAGCGTACAGTTTTGGAATTTGGCGTATGCCTTTGACAACAATCGCTAAACATAGGTACGCCTGAGGCGTTTTACCATTGCCTCGCCTCACGCTCTTAAGTGCGCTTAGGCATGCCTTTCAAAATATTAGTTCATATTCCAATAAGATTTTTGGTACCAAAGTGATTATGATCCATTTGTTAGTACCTAATTTATTTCTTAAATGGTTATCCTGCTATGATGAAATAAAATAAAATAAAATTCTCATTTGACGACCAAATTCAAAATCTTTATCATGTTGTTTCGTTGTTGGGTGTATTGATCAATGATCAGTCTTCAGTGCCTTTAGACACTTATTGCCTGTAACAACTCCCAAGTTTATGGCTCAATGTTACATACAAAATCTGTCATTTCTTTGAACAGGTAAAACTATACAGAGGATGGATGGGATCATAGCTAGGGTTTCTTTACACATTGTAGAAGACAACATTTCTTATCATGACAAACCATATATAATTTATACATATTTATGTAAGGAGGAATACGGTGCCGTATGATTCATGTCTGTAAACTAATTCTGCTTTTCTTTATTGTGTATGTTCCCTCAGTCAGACTTCAACCTGTCCAAGTGATAAAATCTCTGCAAAATCAAGTATAACCAAACATATTAAAAAGGTTTTTTGTTTGTTTTTCTGGAACATGTTAAAAGAAGATAATTGGTGAATGCTAAGTGCTTGAAGAATAATACTGCACCAGAATGGAGTGGATCTGCTCCAGATAAGGCACAAGTAAGGAAAGAAAGGTCTCAATTTCCACTTTCAAGTTGTCATAGTTTTCATCTTTTGCCATGAGGCTACTAAAGAAGGTTTCATTGTCAGGCACTAGCATGAGAGCTACCTGCAAACATTATATTTGTTAGTCCAAGCATAATTTGAAACTTTATCCATATATATAGGGATATGATTTCCCCACTCCCCTTTTCTCCACTTACACTCTCTTTTGCTTTTTAATACTTTTTAATCAATTTTGTTCTTTCTTTTTCCTATTCTACCATTACCCTACATTAATTTCATTTTACTTCACCTTTATATTAGTTCTTTTTATTTATACTTAATTTTCCAACTTGCTACTCCGTTTTCAGTAATTTTCTTCCTTTAATCGAGTAAAAAATTAAGTTTAAATATTAAGAATTGAAATTATTAATTAAATGAGGATAATATGATAAATTTACTTTTTTTCATATTAAAAAAAAATTAAAATTAAAAACAAAATCAGATAATAAGTCATAATTTAATGAAACATAACTACCCATGTTATCTTTTATTAATTCTAAAATAAAAATAAAACCAGTTGGCACATGCTCGGCTAGTTGGAGATAATAATAGTGCAATTCGAGCGAGGTGAAGGACATAGGCCCATATACATGTCACTTTAGCTAAAGGTGCTCATGGGCCGGTCCAGACCTTTTAACCAGAGATTTAACCTATTCCATCTAAGAAATAATGAATTTGAACTAAAAAGAAGGTAGTACTTTAGAAGCAGCTGATGAAATCCATCTATGCCATGGCTTCAAAGTGAGGTTATAAGACTCTTCCACTGCCTGCTTCATATTCTTCCCAGGATCTCTTAATAAATTTTGAAACAATGCCACGGTAAAATCAAGGGATCTGGATGTAAAACAAATCAATTAGTTTATAAGGAAAATGAAGAATCGTGTGCATATACAGTTGATAAATCCAAGAATATATGCACCTAAACAGTGGTTTAGGTCTATCTAAGGTTGTTAGCGTTGGCATAAAATGACAATTTTGATGGCATATGTAACGTCCAACTCAAGAAATGTAAAAGTGGGCTGTTTATTATTGGATCGATTATACAGCTGAGTGATGTGATGTAATTGAAACAATTGTTTAATTCTTGCTTAGCTTTGGCTGGATTTCTAGTTTCCATTAAAGTAAACAATAAAAATGAGGATTAAGGCTGGGTTGTACTGTCAATGGGCCTAGTCTAATGGAAAAGAGTATTGACTTGCATATCATAGGTCTCAGGGTTAGTTGTGTATGTGTGTAAAAAACACTCATTTCCTGTAGTTTAGACTATCGTTTGGGTTGTACTAGTAATAATGTCAACTTTGAGATTAAAATTAAGCGATACCAAAACAAAAAAACAAAAAAACAAAAAAACAAAAAAAAAGAAGAAGAAAAAAAAAGATATTCTTGAAACCAAAACAAGAGAGAGCATATGCATGACAGTTCATACATCATAAACTAATGCGTGTTTGTCGTTAATTAAATCAAGCTGACTTTGATTTATGAGTTACTAGAAAGGTAAAGACTTGGGTAACAGTAGATTTGGAATAAATTTATTAAGGATTTATTTTGTTGTTGATTTTAGTTAAATATGTTAGTCAAGGACAAACACAATTACCAGATGAGCTAAACAAAATTACCTGGTGAGCCAAACAAAGGCTCTACTAGAACTAGTAACATTTCTTGCAATGCCTTCGGTCTTCTCCATTTTCAACATCTCAACCATATTTGAATATGTTGAAGGATCAGATTCATGTTTCACTTCCAGTCTCTGCACACAGTAACAAATAAAATGGAAACTAATCAAGGCCTTGTGGTAACAAATTTAGAACCGACAAAATCATGTTTTCTTTACAAAGATATATCTTGTGAGATTAATCTAAATTATTTTGATTAAATTAATTGTTATGAATGTGCATTTTAAATTTATGACCAAACATTGTATCATAAGTCTGATAAGAGAACATTACCCTATATACAGGCGCCGTGTGAATGCATATTTGTATTGTTCATAGATATTGATTGAATAGATTACTAAAATATATACACAGATGCATACATCAATATATGTAAGCTGGGTTTTGCAATTACCCGAATGTTCTGATGAATATCTTGCCTGAGAACAGCCATTGTTGGTCCAATTTTATCTGCAAAAAGGTAAACGACTATAAAATTCAATGGGTATTCTCCCAGAGAGAGAGAGAGAGAGAGAGAGAGAGAGAGAGAGAGAGACCGAGAACTTGAAGAAGCAAGCTGCAGAGAGAAAGGAAAGGCCTTGTGGGAATATGGGCAGCCTCGTGATTGATAAAGGCAGCATCACGAGCATGTGCATGATCATCAACATCACCATGTTCAGCAACTGGGACCAATGTTGCACTTTTAACTTCGACCATCGCCGAGAGTTCTTCAATCGCACACATAATCTCTGATCCTTTATTCTGATCCATTATCTTCCTTTTCATCCTTTTCCTCTGGAACTTCAAACTTACTGAAGAGATGAAGTCGTCTTGTATTTATAGAAATAGAGAGCTCTTATGTTCGCATCACTGCCTACGACTATCTTCCTGTCTAGGTCTTTGTGAGGCACGCTATGCCCCCCGATCGATTTGTTAATTCTTATTTAATATGGTGTTGATGATGAGAGCATTGCCAGCTAGCCTTGATCCCATCATTTATAGTTATTCTGATTAATTTTTTCCCATTCTGTGGTTCCGGATATTTTTGTATTGAATTGTTTCTGTTATATATACTCTCTGATGGTGACCTTAGTTTTGACCTGTCATCTTAAATAATTTTTATGCTTAGCTTGATCTTGTACTTATCCTTACTCGATTGTTATTAGCATTTTTTTCTTTCGAAATACTCGATTGTTAGCATAAAATGTGTATTTGGGTGAAATTTTTGCATACCACGAGTGTAGACAACCCCTCCTATGTTATAGTGGTCACATAATCAGCAAATGAGACTTATCATGTGAAAACCCACTAAACACAATAAACGAGCAGTTCCACGATGCACGACAGCTTACCCTCACATGTGTGGCGTTCCTAGCCCATGAGGAAAAGATAGGTTAAGAATTATTTAGTACGATGATAGATCAAGTCACTCGATTGGCAACTTCCCCCTTTTTGTTTGCTCTCTTGGGTTTCTGCTTTTGGTGTATTTTTGTAGTTTGTGGGCGGTCAAAGCATAGAAGACTTCTTTTGACAAGTGGGATGCGATACGATTCTCTTTGTGGGTTTTCTGTGTTGGTGTGTACCACATTTGTATATCACATTTCTTTACCACCTTATATGGCAAATCAAGTGGACAACACATCAATTAAAATTAATTTAACATTTTCTTTTCCTTTATGATTTATTGACATTTTTTTAATTGATGTGGTTGTTCACTTCATTTACCACATAAGATGGTATGAGAATGTGTTATAAAATGCGGTAAGAGTAGCATTACTCAATAATCAATTAACATTAATTCAACGAAAGGTTTGGGATGGTCTTCTTCAATGCAATGCTAATTAGTAATTGATTTGTCTTCAATTCAAGTCATAAGTCATGGTAAGGCATGTTTCCTCTTCTTCTTTTTTATTTTTTATTTTTTATTTTTTATTTTTTATTTTTTATGTTGGTTTGGTCTAAAACGACATCGTTTTAACTAGAATTTTTTATATTTATCAATAAATAAATAAATTAGGGTTTATTGGCCAATATTTTTTACAAAAACAAAAAAACAAAAAACAAAAAACAAAAAACATAAGCGCGCTGCTTCCGTGCACAGCGCATTAGTTGCGCCTGAAACAATGAACATAGCGTCTTTGAGGAATTTTCTCGAACAGTTTGTGGGCATTAGTAGAGGGGCAGTTTCCGGCACCTCCAAAACTTTTTCTGATAAGGAAAGGTACAACTGCACCTCCTTGCGCTTATATGGTTCCAACACGCTGATCCCACATGAATGCAACACTTTCTTATTGTATGTGTGGCTGGACGTGTAACGTTCCATCGTGAGATCAAAGAATTTCACCAAATAGACAGGCAAATATAAGAGCATCCACAATGTACTCCCTAAACCACCTCATTGGACAAATTTTAGGGAGTAATCGTAAAAATGCAACTCCAACCACGCTCCCTATTGACCTCTTAAAATAGGGAGTCTTCTAGGAGCTCCTAAATCTGAGGAGAGATAAAGGACTCATAGTGGCTCCCTATAATTTAATGCTGCTTTATTTAATGAGTATTTCAAACCTATATTTAATGTTAACTATTTTTTATTTTATTTTTTAATAGAGATGGACCAATCAAAAAAGAGTTATAGCATTTATGACTCTCCAAATTAGGGAGTATGGTTAGAGTTAAAATTTTTTAGAGAGCTCCTAAAATAGCTTTATTATATTCTTAGCCAAATTTTAGCTAAGAAATAAAGAGCATCATTGTAGATGCTCTAAGACGCATATGGGCTTGATTTTTGCCATTCTATTTTCATAAATATTTTTTTTGTTAAGTTTCAAAAATATTGTTTGAAGTCATCACGATTCACGAGTAAGTAAAATAGAGTAGAGAATAACGGTGGTCATAAATAATTAGAAACATTATTTGAACCAATAAATTTCTTCTCATCAAATACATATGAACGTTGCTATTTTTACCCACCTATCCTATTTTCCAACCGATCATATAAATTTGAAAAGATACGATCATGTTTTTCCTTTAATTATTACCTTCGTCTCTCTCTCTCTTCCCGTCTTCTCTCTCTCATGCTCCACCACTACGCCACTATACACTGCTTCATCTCTTTACTAATAATTTGCATACAGAACCACGCTACCAAACTTCACATTTACCAAATCAGAACTAATCTGATCAGTTCCAAGCCAAAAGCACCTCGCACACTTCACTGTTGGCGTAAACAAGAAACCCGAAAAGCACCCCATTAAAACAAGTTTCTGCCAATGTACACCGCACATGCCACCTCCCAAATATACAAATATATATACTGATACATTAATTCATTTAAGCCTATATATTAACAATACATTTTTTCTATTTAAATCCAGTATTTCTCTTTCTTCACTTTATATTATAAATTCACTCCAACTTCTAATTTAAATTTTCACAGTTTCTAAGAAAACCTCACTATCTTCCCAAACTACCCCTAAATTAATACACACCCAACAGAAAATATATATATATATATATATATATAAAACTCATCAACCTCGCACCCCACACCCCGTTATTTTGTCCCTCACCGCTCTAAGTTCACCTCAACCTCACATTATTTAAAGAGATAAAAACACTGTTATCAAATGTATAGCAGTATTATTTTATTATTTTTATTATTATAAAAAATTCGAGGATGAAGTAGGAAGTTTTGATAGAGAAATGTTAACAGTTAAATTGATATGTAAGTTACCATCATAAAAAAACTGGCATATGCTAAAAGAAAATTTAGGGTACTTCATGTTCTGTTTCTAAAACTTAATATGAAAAGTAGTGGGGTGTGTATATAGATGTACTAGAGTTAAATATTAAGTTGGATGACCTTTTTTGTCTTTTTACACAATAACAAAACTGAAAAACTTAATAATTTAAGTATTGAAGTGAACAAAGAAAAATGCGGGATTTAAATAGAAAAACTCTTAACAATATTTATCCTCAAAAGAAAGAGGAATATTAATACTCATGTGACAATTAATATTCGTTTTCCAACAACTTGTCCAATATTTTTTAAGTTGCGAATAGAATCGATCACGTACGTATAGGACAGCTTTATCTAGATATATATAGGGCTTATTCAGGGAAGAAGAGATCGAACAAACAATTTATACCAATATATATATTGCTATAAAATATAGAGAGAAAGCAGATTACCCAACAAACAAAATGTAAATTATGTCCTAAACAGATTGCAGATGCAGCCAGCGATTTGGTGATTAAGGTCAAATAGTATTAGCCAAAACGGCTCCAGGTTTTATTCAGGGAAGAAGAGACCTAGCAATTATATATTTATATTTATGCTCACTTTTTGGTTTATCTTTCTCTGCAGAACCATGGCTTACAAGTTCTAATTATAATTAGCATAAAATAATTCAGCGGAATCCTGGATTAAGCTTCTAAGTAAAGTGTGAACGCGAGGGATTCCTTCGAGTACTAAAACGTTTTAAAGCCAGTTGAACTTGGGAGAGAGTTTCTAAAGAACATTTTTCTGCATAATTTAGTAAGCATGATCCATGCTGGGCCAAGTCTCATCTTGCTATGAGCCCTTGTGAGATAGAATTTAAGTTATTTACACTAACACCCCCTGAGGTTTTTGGCTTTTTCACAAATTCTTTGAGGTTTTAGGAATTATACGAACACCCCTTGAAGTTTTAAATTGTTTTCACAAAACTCATTTTCATTGATTTTTCATCCAAAGATTGATGATTTTATACCAAAAAATTCTCCAAATGACAAAGTTGGCCTTTGAGATTAGATTGCATATACTTCATTGAGGTTAATTTTTTCATTTATATGAGTTTTGTTTCAATGAAATAATCAATTTCTGGACAAATAATCAATGAAAAGCGTTTTTAAACAAATTGAAACCTTAGAAGGTGTTCGTGTAATTTTTGAGACCTGAAGGGGTTTGCATATATTATATTATAGGTGTTTTATCAGGAGCTAGTCAATCGGCTAATGAAATTTGTGCTTCTTTTCTTTCTTCTAATTCTAAATTTAGGCTAAAAAATGACAATGACACATTTGTTACAATGGATTAGGACAAGAATTGGATATTTAGCACTACTCTTGTCTTGGGCCAAACAAGTAAGTATTTAACAATTAGGCTAGGTAGGATCAAATAAGACTCAATTAATCAAAGGACCCACTAGTATAGTGGTTTGGAGTATTTACTCACTTAGGCTACAACTCGGTTGCAGTTATTCGTTTTTAAAACCAACTTCGTGAGTGATAGGAGTGTTTCTCAAGTGAACGTGAACTGACTAAGGACCCTTTCTCTCCGATCAAATTAGCTTAAGGCACCCATCAAATCATTCTCAGTCTTTGAATCTCTCCTTTCCAATGACAAGCTCACCATTTTTATTCCCAACTAGCATATTTACTTCCCAAGCTCTCCTTATCAAAGGCATTCATTCATAGTTTACCAAACAGGCTAGGCTTTTCAAAAATTTTAAAAATCACTTATCATCCAGAATAAGCAATGCCATACAGGCAGCGGCGGATCTATGAATTTTTCATTTGCAGATGTGCAATAAATCTAAAAAGCTAAAAAAAAAAAAAAAAAAAAAAAAAAAAAAAAAAAAAGGACTCAAGAAGAAGGAAAAAAAACACAGGACTCTTGTGAAGCACACACACTTTGGGTGATTTTAAATTGGTTTTTTATAAAGAGAATTCTCAATCCCACTTAAATAAGGAATTCCCAAAACCCAATTGAATAAAGAGAAGTTCCAATTAAAACCCAATTAGGTAAGAATTATAAAAGTCCTTTAGAAGCCCAGGAATGGCCCAGTTGTTTCCCCCCCTTTTTTTATATCTTTTTTTCTTTAAAACCCAGGTCCAAAATGATGTCGTTTTGGCCAGGTTTTATTTTATTTTATTTTTATTTTTATTTTATTTTTAATTTAAAATTTTAAAAATTATTTTTAAAAAAAAATGAGGTCTCCACATGCAATAAGGACAGTGGCAATAATGTAATCATCCACCTCAAAACCCTCTGTTCGCATATGATGCATGAGCTTCATAGCCTCCTGGTAGAGACCATTCTTTGCATAACCCACTATCATAGCCTTCCAAGAAACCAAATTCCGTTCTTGCATGCTGTAAAAAACTTGAAATGCCTCCGTTACATAGCCACATTTTGCACACATAGAAATCAAAGTGCTACCCACAAAAACATTAGACATGGTAGGACTTTTATTTGCAGATGAGTGAATCAATTTCCCGTGCAGAACGGTTTCTAGCTGGGCGCATGCTTTCAAAGTGGATGAGTAAGTAAATGCGTTGGGCTCCACCCCATCCTTCATCATTTCATTCAAGAGTAGCGCGCAGCACTGCAGCAACACAGCAACGCAATTCACTTGCGCATTTCATCGAACAGCTTCCGTGCATGAGCAGAGGTGCAACTTCAACAGCTTTTATGGAGTTTTCTGGCGACCGGAGGTGCAGGTGCACCTCCTTGCACCTGCACAGGTCCGCCACTGCATACAGGCACTAATATGATATAACTTCAAAAGTATATATTCCATGAAGCAAAGACCTCGAACAAGAATGCCAAAAAATTTGGCACCAAATGATTGAGGGCTGAATCCATTTCCTTTTCAGCTTCAGGCTAGAAGTACATATTGTAAAAATTAGAATAGTAAAACTAAATCAAAACTTTTAAAAGAAAAAATTAATGTAGTTTATTTATACCGGGTTGGGCTTAACAAATAAGATTCTCCAACTTCGACATGCTAGCCAAACAAGGCTATAGTATCTAAACCAATTATTCCTTTTTTAAACGCCTCTTTTCATTCTCCCAATATGGCATCCCATGTAATGCCTAGTTGGTGTTGATAGTATGTCTCTTATCACCATAGTCATCATACTTCAGTTTTTCTTTTTCTGCAGAAGTCAGGCGATGAGGTGGAATGACAGAAAAGCCAGACCCTACATAGTAAGCAAACACAACATCAAGTTCTCAAGTCTTGGTGCCAGATCCAAGCATAGTAATCTGGCGTTGAGCCTCTCGACGGACCATAAAAAATATATTTTCGATACTCGAAACTTTATCACTCTGTAGAATATCATTGCGGACCTTGTGATAAGTATCATCAAGGCCAGCCAATAAATCATACACACGATTTGCCATAACAGCAACCTAAAACGTCTTTATATCATCATCACACTTCATTTGAAATGGACGTCTCTTGTCCAATTCAAGCTAGATTGCCTTAAGTTCGTCAAAATAAGTGGAGACAGGACGACCCCCTTTCTTGAGACAAGTAGCTTGGCACCACAGTTCATAGAGCTGGGATATGTCAGAGCCATCATAAAACATCTGATTAACGACACCCTAAATATCCTTGGCAGTAGGTAGAGTATGAAACATATTCAACAAACTAGGTTCTATAGTTCGCAACATCCAACTTTTCACAGTAGAATTAGTAATTTTCCACTTCCCAAATTGTGGGTTAAGGGAATCCGGGGCATCAGTGTGGCCAATCAGGTAACCCAATTTGCCTTGTATAATTGTATGGAGTTCAATCATCGAAGTCCATATCTCATAGTTGGATCTATTCAATTTGAATCCCATGAGTAGATGAGTGGATGATTCAACGTGAACCGTCGCAGTAGGAGTATGAGTAGCAATAGGGGAAGTACAACCAGAAGCAAGTGAAGAAATAAGGTCATCGATATTTGGCATGGTGACGGATGGCACTATGGCGGTAGAGATGGTAGTAGCAAGGTAGGCGGCACTGATAGCTGCAAGGTAGATGTTGGCGATGGTGGCAAGATAAACGGCAACGGTGGGCTAGGATTACATACTAGGTGTATAGTGCAGCGGGAATAGGTAGTGTTTAGAGTTAAGGTTTTTTATGTTGTATAAACGGATATGAACCAACTCAAAAGTAATTAGGGTTTAAATTCATATGTTTATTCTTCTCTCAAAGAGATATATATATACTACATACAGAGTCAGTACAAATAGGAAATATATATAAAATCTTCTATGAACAAATACAAAGTGGGTACAAATATTTTAATTATAATAAAATACAAATTCTATTCCTAATAGAAACAAATTGTATTCCTAATAGAAATGTTGACTTTGATTCATGCCAATAATAACTACTTTATTTGTTTTGCTTTTACTTTTCTTAGGAATCATCTAAAATAACTATTTAATTTGAAGTTAATTGAAAAGGGAGTTGTGGGCTGTTATCCATCCTCCAAGAAAGTCATTCTCCACTCATTCAATAACTAATCAAAACAACAAAAGTTTCATGAGTTCTAATAGACGCATCCTAGCAAGTTAGTTAATCATGACGACGTTGATATGTCATGGTAGACCGTATGTTTGTACCCTCTAAAATCTGTTGCAAGGTCTCAACTGCTTGATAAACTTAGAAACCTCTTGCACGCAATGCAACTGTTTCCTCTAATGCCACAAGCGGCCTAGTAAAGGACAACATATGCTAGTCATGCTCCAGCAAAGAATTTGAATTCAATGCCTTAGTAAAAAGTACAAAATTGAAAAAGTGGAAGTCATATCAAATTTATAATTTTACTTCTGTGAGTCCTCTTAATATCTAAAAAATAATATTAAGTACTGTCACGCCCCGGACCCGGGGGTAGGTGGAAATCCCGCGCCCGGTGAGTGAGAAAATAAATAAAATAAAATAAAATGAAAAGAAAGCCGAAATATGGTTTGAAATGAACTTCTCTTATAAAAATAGCTCCAAAATCTTACAACTTTACAATAAATAAATAAAGCTCTACTACTCTCATCTAATTCAGCCTCAATCGATTTAGTCCTCGTCTTGCCCACTAATTCATCTGAAAAATTAAACAGAGTGAAGGATGAGCAACCACCGCTTAGTGAGTAGATTATGTAATATGCCAGTCAAGCAATGCCGTTTTACCCACTCTAGAAAATATCATGAAAAGATACACCAATCCAGATCATATCACATCATCCCTTCATATCTCGGTTATCCTTCATAGCATGTAACCAACCACGTGACCCCTACTGGCCTTACTACCCTATGTCCCCGTGTGGTACATATATCCCTCGGATACCCCAACATTGAAGTTCTCATGTTCCATGAATAATATATACTTCACAAATATTCCGGTCAAAATATATATATAGTGTGAAAAATTGCACCAAATTAGACATGCTTGACTTGAAATAGAAAGATATTTGTAAATAGAACAAAACCACGATAATTCATGGTTTTCATATTTTATCACAAAATAAGAACTTTTAGAACACATTACATAAACCACTCACCTCGATAATGAGAGCCCTTAAAATAAATTGGCAAGACAACCCATTTACCTATCTTCATGTACTATCACTTAAACCAAGCTCCAAGAGTTTCACCACCACTCTTTCTTCTTCTTCTTCTTCTTCTTCTCTCTCTCTCTCTCTCTCTCTCTCGGTTCATTTGTTATGCACATAATGTCCTATATATAAGGAAATAAGTCGGCAGTAAAACACTTCCTATTGGATAGTGTAATGGCGGTTGATTATACTTCCTAACCAAGTTATAATATATATATATATATAGCAGATAAGGAAGAATGTCTTTGTGATTCTTCCAACTCCTCCAATCATATCCTTTTCTCTTTGGTGAGTTGGCTAACCTTGCTACTTAACATGGTTTTCACTTTGACACGTACAAGGCCTATGAATTGACAAAGACAACTAACAAGGTCTATTAATACATATCCATATATAATAGAATAAGATATTTATGTAATAAGATATAAATATATAAGTATTATTAGTATAACAATAATATTTTCATATATGTACCAAGATAATTACACATACTAATATATATTTAACTAAGATAATTATATATTAAAAATATAGGGTTTCACAATCTACCCTCCTTAAAAGAATTGGGAGTTTCACTAAAACACCCAAAATGGGGGCTCAAATTATAAAAAAACCCAACACCCAAAACACTTTATAAACACACCCAAAACCCATCATTACACACACTCAAAACCCATTTATAAACACACCCAAAAAATATACAATTGTTGATTTTGGGGTTGATTTTGGTTGTGTTTCTATGTTTAAATAGTGCTTGGGTTTTTTTATAAATACATGTTTAGGATTTGGTTTATTTATAAATTTGTAAAAGAAATTTCGTCCTCGAAATTTACTAACACTTCATTAAGAAAATCTACTCCAAAAAGTTATGCCCCTAACTCATTCTATCAATTAAAACTTATTTTGTACTAATACAAGATCATAGTTCCCAAGGGTGTCTAATCCCTATGCTCTGATACCATTCTGTCACGCCCCGGACCCGGGGTAGGTGGAAATCCCGCGCCCGGTGCGTGAGAAAATAAATAAAATAAAATAAAATGAAAAGAAAGCCGAAATAGGGTTTGAAATGAACTTCTTTTATAAAAATAGCTCCAAAATCTTACAACTTTACAATAAATAAATAAAGCTCTACTACTCTCATCTAATTCAGCCTCAATCGATTTAGTTCTCATCTTGCCCACTAATTCATCTGAAAAATTAAACAGAGTGAAGGATGAGCAACCACCGCTCAGTGAATAGATTATGTAATATGCCAGTCAAGCAATGCCGTTTTACCCACTCTAGAAAATATCATGAAAAGATACACCAATCCAAATCATATCACATCATCCCTTCATATCTCGGTTATCCTTCATAGCATGTAACCAACCACGTGACCCCTACTGGCCTTACTGCCCTATGTCCCTGTGTGGTACATCTATCCCTCGGATACCCCAACATTGAAGTTCTCATGTTCCATGAATAATATATACTTCACAAATATTCCGGTCAAAATATATATATAGTGTGAAAAATTGCACCAAATTAGACATGCTTGACTTGAAATAGAAAGATATTTGTAAATAGAACAAAACCACAATAATTCATGGTTTTCATATTTTATCACAAAATAAGAACTTTTAGAACACATTACATAAACCACTCACCTCGATAATGAGAGCCCTTAAAATAAATTGGCAAGACAACCCATTTACCTATCTTCATGTACTATCACTTAAACCAAGCTCCAAGAGTTTCACCACCACTCTTTCTTCTTCTTCTTCTTCTCTCTCTCTCTCTCTCTCTCCTCTCTCTCTCTCTCCTCTCTCTCTCCTCTCTCTCTCTCTCTCTCTCGGTTCATTTGCTATGCACATAATGTCCTATATATAAGGAAATAAGTCGGCAGTAAAACACTTCCTATTATGGCGGTTCCTAACCAAGTAATATATATATATATATATATATATATATATATATATATAGCATATAAGGAAGAATGTCTTTGTGATTCTTCCAACTCCTCCAATCATATCCTTTTCTCTTTGGTGAGTTGGCTAACCTTGCTACTTAACATGGTTTTCACTTTGACACGTACAAGGCCTATGAATTGACAAAGACAACTAACAAGGTCTATTAATACATATCCATATATAATAGAATAAGATATTTATGTAATAAGATATAAATATATAAGTATATTAGTATAACAATAATATTTTCATATATGTACCAAGATAATTACACATACTAATATATATTTAACTAAGATAATTATATATTAAAAATATAGGGTTTCACAAGTACAAACTCAATAATGAATTCGGTAGATAATCATTGAAACAAGAAACGAATTCAGTAGACTATCACTGGAAAACGGAAACAAATTCGGTGGACTACCACTAAAAAACTGAAATAGATTTGGTAGACTACCACTGAAAAACAGAAACACATTTAGTGGACAGCCACTAAAACATAAATAAATTCGGTGGACTCCCACTAAAACAAGGTAAGTTAAGAAATGGGGTTCATGAGGGTAATTTAGGAAGACAATGGGGTGTAGTGAGTAATTTTAAATTTTACTAAAATTCAGTAGAGTGTAAAGAGAACGTGGGGGTGCAAAGAGCAAATTTTGGGGTGCCAATAAAATCACCCATATTTTTAAACCCAGATTAATTATGAATAAAGAAAAATATCATAAAAAAGAAGAAGAAGCAAGATACAGATTGTTTAGCATACATTTTATTTCGAGCCTGGTAACTTATTCTGAAGTACACATGAAGGAGGGAAAGAAAACCCAGAGGAAGAAGAACAAAACCAATTGAGAGCTATAGGCATTCTTAATCCGACCTTTTGACAAATCATCACTTAATAATAGGCCTTACCCTAACCAAGCATCCATATTATTATCATCAGTTTCCTCTTACAGGGAAAATTGAAAATTTAATTTTGGTAATTTTCTTTAAAATGTATTTCAAACCTTGGGAAAATCCCTTAGACAAAGGAAGCTGCATGAGCCACACACACGGACAGGAAGAAATGAAACAACAAAAACAAGGGACGTTGTCCATTTCTTTTTGGGATGAATCAAGAGCATAATAGTAGCAGTGAAGGTGAGCATGGTGGTTATTAGTGGGCAGAACAGAAGGGTGAACCCCAAATGCAGCCTGAATGGAAGAGAACGATAAAAGTCTTGGTACTCAAGCGGTGATGCCAGGATAGAGAGAAACGTGAACAAAGAAGCCAATGAACTGATGAGCGAGACTGTGTCAGCAACGGAAAATGTGAAGAAGAAAGAAGAATGCCAAAGAACAGGAACCCCGTTTGAATCATTACCCCTGGGAGTCGTGTGGGCGGCTGCATAGACAACGGTGGCCACCAAAGCCTCCACAGTCCAACATGACTGAGCCGTCTCTTTTATCCATGTTTGAGCCGACTAAAGAAGTTTTGCATGCTCACTATTGAAGAGCTGCTCTGCTGACTTCTTCTCCCTGTTGTGCTTCATGATGTAATGAGGTGAAATAATCTTTTTCACAGGCTAGCCACACATGGAAAAATTGATGAGGCGAGAATTAATCATTTCAATCACCATGAACATTGCTGAAGTAACAAATAAATTTATAAGCAGGTTCATACTTAAAATAACTAGTTAATTAGTGGTATTTCTCTTTGTAAGGTTGGAAGATGTTTATCTTGTTTTATCAAAATAATTAATAACTAATAACTTCATACATATTTTGATTATCGTTGACAAAAGTGTTTTACTAGCCAACGAAAGGAAATAGAAAGTAACCCCCCCTGTCCTGTAGTTTAGACTATCACTTATATTAAAAATAAATAAAAATTATTAAACTACCTACTCTATTGGGGATAGTTTGTGTTTTAAATGAATCTATGTCAGTTTGGTGTAGTGGCACTGAGTTTCTATGCCTTGTTGGAGGAGGTATTGAGTTCAAAACTCATAGACGACAACATTGAATAAAGAAAATGCATGCATCATTCGTAGCTAGTATATGAACTTCAATCAATTACAAAACTCATGACACTCACCGCCATCCAACGCAATTCGTCCTGCAATTGTAACGCTGGCCCACCTAGACGCTGAGTGTCTGCAGAGTAATATCTCATAGTTGCAGCTTGATGCAGTATGGTGTTGCCATTGCGGTCAATCTTCATAGCCATCCTTGATGTTATTGATTTGCTCTTTTTAATAAGCTTAAAGATCTCCAACCAGCGATGCATAATGGCCACGTGCAAAATGTTTTGTTGCTCATCAATATCGTGAGCCTCAACCGATTGAGGGTGTAACTCCAACATCTTATTCACAATTTCTGATATTTCGTATCTAGCCGCTATGAGCAATGGGGTATGGTTCCTATCATCATCACAGCGAACATCATCTTCCCTTGATGTCATCCATGAATAGTCCTTTTCGACGAGCAAATGAGTGAGTTCCAAGAGTGATTTTCATTTTGTATTTTCTCGAACATCATACGGCTTCCTGGGCTTCCGAATCCTGGTTATAATCATATCATGCATATTTAGTAGAGATATATTGATGAAGGGAACACAGTGTTACTTAGATCCACTCAGCATTGTATTTCAGTCATCTAAATTGTCTATTCAGATCGTTGAACTAAAATTGGTAATAGACCTCGCAAGATGTCACTCAAACAAGATTATTTGAGGGATTGCTCAATAGAACAGGACGGAACAGAACTATATATACACTAATAAATATATCGCACACAAATATATATGGCCCATTTTGAAAGTTAGATGAATTACTCGTAATCTTCTTTGAATAACTAGATTGGCAAGGCCGATTGATCCTGCTGTCCAAGTCATTTGGTGGGATCCGATCAATATTATCATCATTAAAAAGGCCTGAATGTATATAAACAAGGGGAGCATAAAGATTAGCATCATCATTATCGTAAAAGCATGCATAAATAAAGGGATCACTATTCGTGCTCCATACAGTTATATATGTAGTATAATAAGAGAAATGCACTCCCTGCTCCTCTTGCACTTCACTATGGGAGTGTAAATACAAGTAGCCCAGCCAGGTATAATCCTTTTAGGCTACATATGTTGATTAGCACTTGTGATTGGATTGGATAAATGACTCCACAAAATTAAAGGTATGTTCAAGAAAAAAATAGAAGTAGAGTTGAATGATTTTTCATTTTGTTGGGATTAAAAGGCCTAAGTTATAAGCTATGTCGATATCTCGCCGTTTTGTGGCAATCGGAAGACATAAGTTTGGTTCATCAAAAATTTAAAAAAAAATATATATATATATATATATATATTTAGTAGTATAGAGATAGAGTAAATGGTACATTTATAAATGAGCATCTTCCATATGCTTTTGCGAAATTTGGCTTGGAAGGCAGATGGCATTTGGGCTAGCAATTGAAGACTTGTGAGTTGCTTTCCTTTCTGTCCCCAAGATCTGGGTACTCTTTTAGTAACCAAAGAGCAGTCTCTGCATTAAAGGAAAACCATGTTAGTAATAATAATAAATAACCGTCTATTTTTTCAACGATCCAAATCATTTATTTTTTAAGTCTACATGAGTCATAGATCATTTTTGCAAAATAAGTAGAAAGTAACGCAATTAATTGTCAAAATTTGAAGAGAGAGACCAAAATTTTAGCCAATGACTGCGCTATGAAGAATGGATATTTGATCACTTCTTTGCAAGTGCGGCCTTATATGTATGCGGCCCACTTTTTTGACCAAATATTGGACCAACTTTGTGTGGCCGAAAGAAGCGGCCCTGTAGACTGGGGTCTCTCCTAACTGGTTTCGAATCTCTAACACACCTTCATGGCTAACATCATCTTCCATAACATCAGCAAGCTCATCCCTAACTTTGTTATCCGATACACCAAGAGCACTGCGGCTTCCAAATTTCCGGACGGCGCCACCTCATGTAGAGTGGTGTTGCCATGCCTATTCTTCATTGTCAACGCACTGCGTAACATCTGAGGGTCTGTTATCAGTGAAATCAAAAACTGCAGCACGTCCATGCGTCCAATGAAGGCTACAAGGTGAAGTGCATTGTCATTGTACGTTGTCAATGGATTAAGTACTTCGGTTGGATTATCCTTGTAATATCGTCTTAGGCGTTCCCAGTCCTCGTACATGGCCCATCGATACGGCCTTTTCATTTGATCCAGTGCCCTTCTCTCTCTTTCAGCCTCATGAATCTCTTCCATGGGGTCCTTCGGCGAAAAACTGGTTCAAGTTAACCCAATTTAGGGGCTTCGACCTGGTTAAAAATTGCGCTTTAAAACCGGTTGATCAAGAGTTTGTCCCAGCTGTTTTTGGACCACGCAAGGGAGTGGTTAGAGAATTCAAACTTCCTGCATTAATTGGCTGATTATTTATCCCAAACCAAAGCTTACTAATTCATTTATTTATTGCCATTATAAATAATAATTCCCTTGTTTTGACTAAGCCCTTGAGACTAAGCCTTAATCTCCTCCACATTTGTTAATGAAAATCTAAGAAAGAACCCTTGAGATGACTGAAAGGAATATGCTCCTTTTTGTTTTGCATATTCTCCGTTTCTTCCTTTTTCTTTCTTTTAATATTTACTCTTCATTTTTCGGGCTATTATATTTTCTGAAAATGTAAGTCAACCATAAATTCAAATTTTATAATTATTAGTATAACAAAGTTTGATCCTGAAACCCACTTGTACTTTTTAATGAGAAATGTTTGACTAGGATTTTAGACTAGTTGACTGTAATTCTTATTGGTGAGCCGCATTCGCACGGCACACACACATGCAAGGCACATTCTATTGCATTTACTATAAGATCCATTCTCCATACCCCCCCCCCTCCTCCCTGTACCCTAAAAAAAAAAAAAAAATTCTTCAGGTTCAGGTTTTTGAGTTTTAAAAAAAAAAAAAAAAAAAAAAAAAAAAAAAAAAAGAGACAGCAAAATGGCAGCTTCAAGTGCTGATCAGAAAGATAAATATCGTTCGTATTTATATGGAGAGGGAGAAAAGAACACCAAATGGAGGTTTGGTGCCCCTCCCAACTATGATGTTGTTAACAAGCTCTTCGAAGAAGGCAGAACCAAGGTCTCTCTCTCTCTCTCTAATTGTGTGTTTATTTTAGTAAGAATTTTGTGTTTAATTTCTATGATCATTAATATCTTCCTGTAGCATGTTATTATATATTCTGATTAAAGTATCATATACTTTGTAATTAATTGAAGATATGGCCACCTGGGTCACTCGAAGAAATGGTACAGAACCTTTTGAAGACATATGAAATGGAGCTTTTCCACAAGGCATGCGTCGACGACTTCAAATCAATAGATCCAAAAAAGTTCACTCTCAGCCTAAATGGTACGTAAATATGTGTACTCTTTAATTATTAGCACAAGCTAAGGAAATTTTACCGGAGAAAATCATGAGTTCAAATCTCGCAAAAAGCGGTACTTGAATAAGATGAGATAATAGAAGAATAGCTTTTCGAAATTTGTGTTAGTACTAATTAATTCACGTTTTGAATCACACATAAAATTTACAGGGAGAAAAGGATTAGGTTTGGAAGATATAAAGAAACTGGGTGGAGGCTATAACCCATTGCTGCAGTCGTCTCTGCCAGAGGAATTCCAGATCTACAAACCATCTGAGGAAACAGCAGATTCATCTCATCGAGCTTTCACCACTACTTTCCCTCGTGGCTTTGCTGTGGAGATCCTCCAAGTCTACTCTGGGCCACCACAAATAGTTTACAAGTTCAGGCATTGGGCTTACATGGAGGGCCCTTTCAAAGGCCATGCCCCTACCGGAGAACTGGTAGAATTTTATGGCATGGCAATTTTTGGGGTATGTACCTGGCCAAGACAACCATTTATCGTATTCGTGAGTGCTAGTATCAGTCTCCCACGGGCATTCCACTTGCATAAACGGCCCAATATCATTCACATACACGTGGATGACTGTGCATAATTCTTGTCATTCAAGTGTTCGTAGATGACTGATGCTGGTAGCGTGTGTATAAATCATTACTCACGTATTTTGGTACCTTGTTTTGCACTGATATTAACATTAATCACTTATATATGTCCTGCATTATTCACACATATCTAGCTATATATTATAATTATGATCGTTACTTATCTCTTAATAATTTATTTGGTCTAAACAGGTGGATGAGCATATGAAAATTGTAAGTGTGGAGTTCTTTTATGATCCCGGAGAACTTCTTGGAGCCCTGGTGAAGGGTGCTAAAATTGAAAATTATGCTGGAGAGATGACAACAGGTTGCCCTATCCTGAGGAGCACAGGGTAGCTAGCTACCTGCATCTGGAGCTCCCATGAGAGAAGCAAACATGAAGCACATGGGTTAAGATCACTAGCTAGCTAGAATCGGAAAACCTTGTAGCATATGCAATTTGAATAAAATAAAAATATGACAGCTGCATTGCCACATGGTATGGTCGGTGCAAGTATGTTAATATCAATAAATATTTTCTACTTATGGTATGATATCAATAAATATCTATTTATATTATAACACGTTAACAAGTTATATACCACATTGTCAATGACCATATTCCACATTATAATTACTCGTCCCAAGCCCAACTGCTCAATATAATTGTCAGTTTGAAGGATTTGGCCACCAAATTTTGTTGTGTATTTTTGTTTTTTTAAGTAAGTGTCGTGGTTTAAATACAAAAACAACTTTTTTTTTATTGTAACAAAAACTACTAAAGTGCAAAACAATGCTAAAACAAATTTTTATTTTTATTTTACATTGAAAGGTTTCAACCTATGATCTATTCTAATCCTAACTCATTTCTCTACCCTTTCTCGTTACCTAATCCAAAGGATTGCCATGCTGAAGAAATTTAAAGTAGGGAGGCTTGATGATTTATTGTTATAATTAATTGATTGGAGCATGAAATTTATGAACCAAAAATTTGATCCGTCTCCACTTTCAACTTTGGAAACTAGTTAGATTGGTAATTGCTGACAAATTAATAAGGTTTTAGTTAATTACATTGATGAAATCCGCATGCAAGTAGAGAGAGAATCAACTGATCGAAATGCATAGTAGTATCAAGGAGAGATGTGTTTCACTAGAACTTGAATATATATACTTTTATTATTTTTTTTTAAGTAAACCTAATCATGTCATATAAAGGTTTAGGAAAGCACGTCGGTAACTATAACATAAAGTAAAATGAAACACATGAATTTGAAATTCTTTGACGATTAAAGTATGTGTAAGGGTAGATATAACTAAAAAAACCTTATAGTATATATTAACCGTTACCGTTATGATGGTAATGTTTCAAATTAAAAGAACAAGGTGTAAATTTAATTATTTTTGTGGTTAATTGATTATATTAAGAGTATCTCTAACCGAGATGTTAAAATGACATGTAGAGCTCCAACATTTTAAAATGACATCACAAATTTTTTTCAACCGAACAACCTATTCCTAGGTGAAAATAAAGGCTGAGACTTTGCTGTCAAAATTGACACCAACTTTTCTTGTCTTTTTATTATTTTATATATAGTTTAAAAAAATAAAAATAAAAATATAAGTGATAGTGTCACAAGGAGAGTATGTATCATTTTGGTAGCGTCAAATTATCCAAATATGAGAAGAATAGTAATAGGACGGCCGCCAATACGGACCGCATGGATGACAAATTCATTTTGGTTACTCCCCCAGAATTTGCGCAAAACTTTTGAAACCAGTGTAGACTAAAACAACAATATCAATCACTTTCAATTTTGTCACTATTTTTGTTGTTCTGTTATCCAGTGTAGATCAACGGGGTCTAACCCAGTGTAATTTGCTATCTACTAAAAAAAATAATAATAATAATTTGATGAAAAACACAAACTCTTTAATCCTGCAATATTTAATATTAAATTCCTCCTTCCGCTTATATATATGCCATCATATACTAGAGACTAGTAGTAGTGGAATGCTCAGTAATATGAATTTGATACCAGGGCTATTCTTTTTGTCGCCTAAGTTATATATTTAAGGACCTCTTTGTAAGTCAGAGTACTCAAATTTCTAGGTTCTAAGAAGCTAAGATGGCCTCTTCAGGAGTTAAGGGAGACAGTTATCGTTGCTATTTGCATGGAGAAGGAGAAAAGAACACCAAATGGAGGTATGGTGCCCCTCCTAACTATGGTGCTGTCAACAAGCTCTTTGAAGAAGGCAGAACCAAGGTCTCTCTCTCTCTCTCTCTCTCTCTCTCTCTCTCTCTCTCACACGCACACATCATAATATTTATGTTGAAGATATCTGATTTTTTCTTTTTCAATTTGATGGAAGATATGGCCTCCGGGATCACTAGAAGAACAAGTGCAAAACCTTGTAAAGACATGGGAAATGGAGATGTTCCATAAAACAAGGGATGAAGACTTTAAAGCAAGTGATCCTAAGAAGTACACTTTCAGCCTAAATAGTAACTATTGTATCACCAAATATATTAAGACTCATCATTACACTGTCCAAAGTCCTGTTTCCATAAATTGTGCTTGTAACTTACAGGAAGGAAAGCTGTAAGTTTGGAAGAGAAGCGAAAGCTTGGGGGAGGCTACAACTCTTTTCTGCAAACCTCATTGCCAGATGAGTTCCGGTGCTACAACCCGGCAGAAGAAACGGTGGATTCAGCTCATAGGGCTTTCACAACCGCATTTCCGCGCGGGTTTGCTCTAGAGATTCTCCATGTGTACTCTGGTCCTCCACTGATCGTATACAAGTTCAGGCACTGGGGTTACATGGACGGTCCTTTCAAAGGTCATGCCCCTACTGGAGAAAAGGTTGAACTCTTTGGGATGGCAAACTTTGAGGTAAACAAATCTTCTTGCCTCACATATTATGGTTCTTTTCTCTAGCTACTTTTCATGGAACTTATCCATCAGAATTTGTTGCAGTTGGATGAACATGGGAAAATTGTGAAGGTTGAGTTCTTTTTCGACCGCGGAGAACTTCTTGGGGGCCTTCTAAAGGGAGCAAGCTTTGACAGTTCCAGTAAAGAGGCAGCCTTTGCTTGCCCATTCTTGAGGAGCACAGGGTAGCTTCACAAGCTAACTGCCACAATGTAATAATATGGCACTAGCAAAGCACCAATGAATAATTGTGTAGTGGTTGGTTTGGGTTTTGGGGTTCTTTCCCCCTTGTTTCATCAAAAAACAAAAAGCACCAATGAATAATCAATGCCCAGATTGGCATACAATGCGTACTTCACCCCTATGGGGTTTTGACATTGACATCTGCTCTTTAATTTTTCAAGGACTTGATATCAGCATACATTTCTTGCAATAGAGCATAGAATATTTCAAGTACAAGTCCATGGACGGTGGATGCCGTGCAAATCTGCCACAAGTTAACTTTTAAAGGTGATTAAAGTTGATGTTACATCAACTTGAAAATGTAGAGAATATCAACCAAAACGTTGCCTCGACTTGTTGAGATATCTTGGAACTACAAGGCTATAAAGAGCCATCTACATCATTACTTCATATACATATAGTGCCCAAAAATATATTTCACTAGACCACTGAAAAATATTCATCTTTCATATACCTTTATATTGATTTAGAGATACTGTTTAGAAAGAAAAAAAAAGAAGATATTATTGTGACTGTTAGGTGGATCCTTCTGTTTTATAGATCAAGGGCTATAGATAGTATATTCAGATTGATTTAACTCTTAGGCCAGGGAAGGGACCCTGGATAAGGATCTGTCCCGCAATATCTGAAAAGACCTTCAATTTCAGGACACCCATTTGGATAGGGAATAGACCGGTGAAACGGATCACGCCCTAGTTTTTTATGGTAAAGTGAACCTCGACAGCCATATGGATCATCTTGGAATTGAGCACGCACAATTGCTTCTCCTTTTTGAGCTGCTTCTTTTGCAGTAGAAATTGCTGGGGTACCGGCGTAGAAGAACCTCGACTCTGGAAAGCCAATTGCAGACCGATGTAGATGTGCAAATCTCTCCTCCTTGAAATCATAACTAACAACCTGGTTTACAACGAGTCATGTTAGATTTTAAATTACATTGTTGGTTCACATCCTAACAGCATAAGTTTTTAGAACAATGGTAAACCAACAAACTCCATTAAGGTATCAAAGCAGGAGATCCTGAATAATCACATCTGAACATAAGAACGAAACACAGATCCCTAAAATACAAATATTCTCTTTGTTTTGTAGAATTCTAAGATGTATTGCGCTCTTGTATGGGATATGCAAACATTCTCATAGCCAGTTTATCTTGATCATCTGGACAACTTTGCATAAATCATCTAAATAATCACATCTGAACATGAATGTGCAGATTAACAAAATTTCCCAGTAAATTCATGATAATCACATACATACGTATGCGTAAGTGTAGTATATTGGTGTTCAGCCTAATAGGCACTCTTTACGCTAATGGGAGCTCAATTGTCTCTATGATATTTTCATCCATCATGCCTGTATTTTTTATTTAAACAGGACAAACAAATTTAGAGTAGAATGGGCTTACAGTTATATTACGAGGATATATGCCAGTAAGTTCTCGGAACCGGCACACACTGAAGAGAAGATTCTCAAAACTGTCCCTTGCATGCTCTTCTGTGAGTGTCCTCGATCTCAAATCTTCTTTGCCTAAAGAAGCCATCATGGCATAAGTTGTATACGAGTTAACAATCAATAAAAGACAGTTCAGACCAACACGCATTTAAACTAAGGTTGAACAATCATGTTTTCTTAACCTTTGCAAAAGCAACTAAAAACTCGTCACTAAAGAGAGAGAAGTTAAAACTAAAAAAAGGAAGAATAAAACATTACAGTAAGTATTAGAACAATTGCTTGTCTAGCATCTATTACAAACAATGTAAAGAAGCATATAACTTGAAGAATACCGCCGGAAGTAGTTCACGCACAAAAAATAACAAGAGAAGATAAAGTGAAAGAAACAGAATAAAAGAGAGAAAAGATTATAAAAATAAATTAAATAAAAAGAATGAGAGGGAGGAGCTTAGAGAGAAGAAGCGATAGTATGAGAACAAGGGAATAACATAAGAAACGAAACACAGATCCCTAAAATACTAATAATAAAACTAAACAAAGTCAAATTCCATTCCTTTGCATACATCAGATTACTTAATTCCCCATGATCACTCCAATATGTTATATGATTTGCCAAAACACAGAGTATTGCCTGTAGTCATAATTTTTATGCAACTGAAAACTGGAAAACTTCTGCCATTAGACCCAGAATGATGAAATCGATGAAAAACTCATAAACTTACCATTCTTTGTTATAGTAGCTTCAAGAGTGGAAGAGAACAACGGTAGACCAGAGTGGAAATTGACTGACATTTAGACAGAAGGCAACAGTGGAAGTGATAGACGTAGAAGGAGTGAAAGGTTAAAGTGGTGTAACGTGGTGTTGACAGTGGAGGAGGTGAAGGCAAAAGGGAGCTGTCTGTGGTAGTAGTCAATTTTCCTGGAGTATGGTAATAACTACAACAGTAATAGTAAGGGTAAGCTTGGGTAGTGTTCGCACTCATAGTTGCAAAGTCTTGTGTTCTTTTTCCTTCGACAGTTCTCCATTAAAGAAGCAAGAAATACTATTTAGACAGTTCTCTGTAACTCTGTTTCTGCAATTTATGACAATACTACTGTTATCTTTATAACTTATTTGATAGCTATTAATCCTTGTGCAACCAGAATATGCACGATAATTCCAGTCTGATGGAAATTTCCATACCATACTGTCAAATGTGTATTATTTACAGATATCCACAAGAGTTCAAACATATATACTGCTATTTTTAGTTTTTTCATATGACATTAAGGTATTCATCCAAATATGACAAATGAAATCCACGCAAGACTCAGGTAAATCTAATACGAACAGTACACAACTTGCATGTACTGTATATCTCTTCCCGGGATGATAATTTCCACTAGTAAAGATATCACTTAAACTCCAGAGCTCATCTTGAAACCTAAACCTTTATAGAAGTTGCCAATAAAGCATTCAATGCTAAAAACTTCAAGGAATTTATCATTTCACAACTTGTATATTTTGGTTTATCTTGTCAATAGCCTTGTCAACAAAGAGAAATTCCATGCGCAGTTATTAGCTTACCCTTTTGACTGGAAATTCAAGTTTGCCAAAGGCCTTAAGTGAAAATAATTTATACGATCAACATGACAGCTTTGTCATGAATCATCATGTTTCCGGAAATTCATGTCAATATAGTATTTAGATCAATCAGCAGTAAACTCACGAATTTGACATTTAAATTTGGTTTTTATTGTAACAAACTAGGTTGCTTAACCTTTCTTCTTTGGCACTTCTATAATAAACTGAACAAAAATTGCCACCAGCAAGGACTAAACATCTCTTTTTGTTCTTTTCTATAAACCTCTTCTATCAAAGGAGGACTAAATCAGTACATCTCTCTGTCCTGTTTTTTCCTCTTAGAGTTCTACAAATGAATTTCTTCAAGTTAAATTTTGACAACAAAACATTACAAATGCAGCATGCTTTGCCCCGAGATGCATGAATACAAAAAGAAGAGTAGTTCCAAACAAAAATTCCGTTGTAACTTAATACCTTGCTGAAAATTTATCCAGGTTCTAGCAAAACTTTAGGCCATGCTTCAGGCCACCCAAAACACACATAAGAAATTATTGCCATAAATACTGTACATTCACAGAAACTGCACATAATGGACATAACACCAAAAAATGAAAACAAAAAAGATCATAAACAATCAAGTACATGAGAACCATTTTAAACAGCATCCTATAGATCATGCTTCATACAATTAGCAGTCCATTAAGTCTTATATTAAAAATGAATCATATTTTACACAAGGCATACCAAAACATGTCTAATACAAGAAAAATACAGTAACTCACCAAACCATCCTTTTGATTCAGCAACTGCCCAATAACTCTGTGCCTCGCTCCGAGGACCAGCATCTCTTCGAGTCTCTCCACCACTAAACAGAAGCAAAGCTCTATCGTCTTTGGCTGCGACTTCAATTCCCTCTTGTATATGCGCCACGAAAGTTGCAGCTTGACCTGGATTCTTCTGATAAGACTCCAAAAACCAAGAATCCTCCTTATCAACTTTTCCACAGCTACTGCTAGTATAAACTGAATGCCCGGCAACCATGACTAGATTCTGAAGATTCGGCAACGGATAACTATTCGAACCCATGTCAAATTTTTTATAGCTAGCCATCATTTCAAACCGGCTCTCATATAGAGAGAAAAGTAAGAGAATTGTGACCCCAACTGACAAGGAGATGGTGAAAACTAAAAGTGGGTGCAGCTTACAATAATACTGAAGGCGGTTTCCAATGGACCTAATCATTTTGATGGGTTGCAATGGTGAATGCCTATGCTTTCTGGTTCTTCTAATGGTTCCAGATTCTAAATCAAAGTCACCTCTCGGGTAGGCTGTGAAGGATTTAGGACTGCCAGGCCGAAATGGATAATTGCTCATTATAGTACAAATCCAGCTTACGCGGATATAAATGAATAGAACAAACCATGCCCAGGAGAAAATTTAGAACAAAAAATTAATGGTGATCATGAATTTCATGATACAAATACAGAGCAATATGAACAACTACAGAGGGAGATCAACCAATTTCCACATAGAGGTTGCAACGCATCAGTGGAATTTATAAAGTTTGCAGCTTTAATGAGAATCAGAGGGATTTTCGAACGGATTTTACAACTGAATCAAGCACAGGCTGAACCAGAGAGAGAGAGAGAGCTCACCGAAACTGGTCTGTGAAATTGTTGTGTGCGCTTCTAACTGAGATGAACATTCAGGTTTCAGTGATTCTTTTGTTATCCAAATACAGGGAAGATCCAGGCTTTAGAGGTTTCCTTGAGATTTGAATTTGACTCTGATGGAGGAAAAAGAAGAAGAATTTTACTCTGAATGTTCCTTTTCCTTATTTCTATTTTTCAGATTTGAAACATTTTCTTTTAGGCCAAAGGTTCATTTTTTGTCCCTGTAATTTGGCACTTCAATCACTTTTGACTATGTAATTTCAATTCTGTCAATTTTGTCATTATAATTTCATATTTATAGCAATTCAATGACATGTTAGTATTCTTGTCAATTCTTTAACGATGCAAGGAATAATTTAGTCAACCCAATACCATTGAGCCTAAAGGCTTGTCTGAAATTCTTCCCATTTCATATTAAGGCTCGAAATTCAACAACTAATTCCAATTTTTGAAGAACCCTAAACCCAAATGACTGATTTCAAGCCCTAATATGAAATTATGGGAGTTTCAGACGAGCTTTTATGCTCAATAATTTTGGATTGACGAAATTGCTTCTTGCACCGTCAAAGAAATTGACATGAATACTAACTTATCTTTGAATTACTACAAAAACGAAAGTACAAGATAAAAAAGGATGGAATTGAAACTATAGGGATCAAAAGTGGTTGAAATACTAAACTACAGGGACCAAAAGTGACTTTTAACCTTTCTTTTATTTATTTATTTTTTACTAGATTTGAAACATATTGCTTAATTAAACAAAATTTGGCTAACGTAAATGTGTATATTATTTATTTTTCTTTTGAAAGAGTTAATGTATCCAATAAAAATTAGTTGCCGTCACCAAGTTGATTTTATAGTGTTTAGTGAAAAATTAAACTCTATTACAAAAAATAATGATAATCTCGTGCCAAGGAAATAAGCATGGAATAATTTCTTGAAACCATTTTAAATCAGTTAGGTTTTGTTGAGAATCTCTCCTTAGGCCATCTCCAACCATGTTGGGGCTAAACTCAAATTTCCACCCTCCAAAATACAACTATTCATGTATTTTTAGGACTCAAAATTTTTTTTCCTCCAACCTTGCAGACTCATAATTTGAGTTTGCAACTTTATTAAATTTTTTAAGAATGATTAATCCTTTTTTCTTTTTTTTGTCATTAATTTTTCTTGACATTATTTTTGTTTCAACATTCATGAATTAATTTTCTAAACATTTTAATCTAAAAAAATTGAAAATCCATAAACATAAATTTTTTTTTCGCTTAAAATTAAAATGAGAATGATTGTAGAGTTTGAGAGCGGGATCTCATTTAGATAAATTAAAAATATTATTTTAACCATTTGATTTTAATTTTGATCATTGGATCTTCTTTTTCTCGTTAAAAATCAAGTTGAAAAAAATATGGGCTGTTTATATCTATTTGAGAAAGTTTGAAAAATCACAAAAAGTTGGTTCCCATTGCTTTACACGTGGCCAGCTTTTAAAGGCTCCAAAAGATTATATAAAGAATTAAAAAAAGAACAAGTAGATGCATAATTGGTTTTCAAAGGGAGCTATTGGATTCCAACGTCCCTTTGGTGTGAGCCTTCCACGTGTCCAGCAAATTTGCTTTCTCTTGCCATTCCTTCACATGCTGCACAAGTTGGCTTCGACTTGGGGCCCACAGAAATTCCACCCGGACTGGAAAGTTGGGCCAAATTCTACCCAAGATTTCAGTCTGAGAAGGTTTTTGGCAGCCAGACTATAATGAGGGGTAAGTTATAAGGGGTAAGTTATAAGGGGTTCACTTTATAGTCATTGGATCAATCGAAGGGCTGGGGAGAATTGGGATAAAGTTGTGCAATCGGGTAGGTGAGGAACCCAAACCCGAATTTAATATCCAGCAATGAAGTTGGTCCCAACAAAAAAAAAAAGAGAGGCAAGTTCGAAGTTTGAACAGAAAAAACCCATTGATCTCAAACTCATAGCTGAGAGAAACCGCTAAGCTCTGAGAAACGGTTGAAGGCAACGGGCAACGACGGTTGAAGGCAAAGGTTAACGACGGTTGAACGCAACTCCACTATCTAAACCGTGAAAAAGTATTTATTTTGAGTGGAAGGAGCAAAGGCGTGGATTCTGAAACAGTGAAGACGAAGCAGTGGAAGGGGAAGGAGAGAAGCCGTATTCGTTGGAAGTGATAGGTTCCATTTGTGGAGCAAAGCCGCACAAAGACCCAACACAGACACCTTGCGATTGTTCAATAACCAGCATTTGGTGAGTAATTTATGGAATTTGAGTTTAGGGTTAGAGTAACCGTTTTCCCCAATTTGTAGCATGAATGTTGTTAGATTTGGCATCTCTTCTTTGTGCTTCACTTGCATGTTAATTTTTGCTTGGGTATATGTTAAAAAACGAATGAATATAAAGTCAATAACATGTCAATAACATGTCAATAATGATATGAATAAGGTAATGGTGTTGAATTGGAGGAGGCCCTCAAAACCTTCCACATTTGAAGCAGTGCAGAGTGCAGATTATCTCTCTGGAGCTAGAATATATATAATTTTTGAAATAAATATTATTTCCGTTGTTACTAAATTTGCCTGTTAAAAATGAGAACAGATAATAATAAACTCATGAATAAAAGTGCAAAGCATTTGAAAAAAGGTTGATCTATGACGATTATGGCTGACTGAAGAAAAAGCTAGAAAGAAAGAAGGATGTGGCAATGGCTTAGCGAGCAGATAGCAGAGCAGATGCTTTGCTTTGCTTCCTTCCACCATCTTTCTCATTTATTTATTTATTTATTTTGTGTTGTGTATGAAATGACAATAATTGTCATGTGTGTGAAGTGCAGAACTTGCCTAGATTGCACTCACACTCACTCATGCATCAACCATTGATTGGAGTTTGGATCCATAAATAAAACACATGCTAGTGCTTGTAATTCACAGAATCATTGCATTAACAGGTATTTGCACAAAATATGTCATATTGCTTTGATGATGTTAAAGCCTGTGATCAGTAATCCCTATGCGCATGTACTTTGTAAAATTTGTAATGTGCTGGTTGACTAGTTGTGTAAATACCAATGTGATTGTGCAAATACGTGGTAGTATATGTGTTCACGTTATTTCATCTTGTATTTCAGGAAATGGGATCCAACGTTGAGCTGGTATGGCCAGAGTCAGAGGCATATTCCTCACGGGTGAACAACTGCTCACATGCAAATTCATCCCTAGCTGTAATTCGAGCGAAGTTGAGTGCCGAACAATTAGAACAATTCAAGACATCATGCTTTGGCCATCTTCTGAATATAGATAAGATTCAGTTTAGCGGGCAGATTGTGCATGGGGTTGTGTTGCGTAGAGTAGCGGGGCAGGGTGTGAAAGACTTGGATGGACTGAGTTTCTTAATAGGGTGCGACGTTGCTCAGTTCACTCGTCAGGATTTCTGTTTGATCTCAGGGCTTCGTTTTGGGGAAGTGCCTGAAGTTTCCAGTGGAGAAAGTGATGAAATTAGACTTCAGAAAAGATATTTTATAGACGAAGGAATTACATGTAATGCTTTAGAAGAAGCATTTGTGAGGTGCACAGAGGAAGATGACGTCTACAAGCTAGCTCTTGTTTACTTTGCTGAGTTAGTGGTTTTGGGAAGGGACAAACATTTGAACATCAATCTAAATTACCTGACCCTTGTAGAGGACTTGGATGCGTTCAACAGGTTTCCATGGGGTTCGGTGTCGTTTGACAAAACCCAAGACAGTCTGTTTTCTGCACCAACAAAGTATGTGAAAAGCTTTGAAAATGAAGAGGGAAGAGGGAAGGGGAAATGTAAGGTAACCGGAACAAGCCGGAGAAATGAGAAGGGCAAGAAGGATAACCATGGTGAAGTGCAAAGGGGTGGCTGGAGTTTTAAAGGTTTCACGTATGCTTTCCAGGTACATGGTAATAATGTTCATGTCGTTATGTTTTGTTGACTTTAAAACTTAAATAATAACTTGTGTCCTGTGAATTGTGTAGATTTGGGTATATGAATTAATTCCTAGAATGGTGGACCTGAATTACTGCAAGGTTGTTGATCCGACAGCTCTCCCGCGTATTTTGCGATGGAGAACTACTACGTCTGTTCCCGAGATGAGAAAGTTGAACAATTATTTTTTCCAGAGCAAAGAGGTTTGGTTTGCAGCCCTTGGAACTATTTATAAGATTCAATGAAATTATGAAGTAGAATGATTGCATATGACTCTTGTCTGTTTTCTGAAACAGTCAGTTCAGTTGCGGGCGCTATGTCCAAGTGAAGAGGAAATGAGACAACCATATTGGAGTTGGCCACAGGGTCGCCCTGCTGTTGTCTCGGCAGAGTCAATTCCTTCTTCATGTGCTGACCTTGATGAGTTGAACAAGGCGGTAAGCTTGTTGAGGTCCGAGTTGTTTCAAGTAAAGCGGGAAAAGGACGTCCTTGAGTTAAAGGTCATACGGATGGAAAAAAATTTGGGCCACTGTTTAGGTCCTCATTTTGAGCAGGAAGTGAGAAGGGACATAGCTTTACTGAAAGAGAGGACGAATCGTTGTGTCGTGTCACATCTATTTAAGGGATATGAGGAAGTGGATGGCATGCAATGGGATGAAGGGCCAAGTAATAGAAATGAAGGAGAGGCAAATGAAGAGGAGGACATTGAAGGGGGTGAAGGGCCAAATAACAGAAATGAGGGAGAGGACAAGGAAGAGGAGGGGATTGAAAGGGGTGAAGGGGCAAGTAAGACAAATGAGGGAGAGGAAAAGGAAGAGGAGGGGATTGAAGGGGGTGAAGTGCCAAGTAAGAGAAATGAGGGAGAGGAAAAGGAAGAGAAGGGGATTGAAGGAGGCCAAGTGCAAAGAAAACCAAGGGAGGTAGAGGAAGCTCAAAGGAAAAGAAGTGAGGGAGAGCAAGTGAAAATAAAAAGCAGCAAAGGAGAGGAAGCGCAAAGAAAGAGCATTGAGGGAGAGGAAGAACTGCAAAGAAAAAGCAGTGAGGGAGAGGATCCGAAAAAAAAAGGAAGGGCAAGGAAGTGAAAAGACAGAGAAGTGAGGAAAAGGAAGTGCAAAGAAACCAATGTGAGGAAGAGGATGATGAAGTTATGTTGGTTGGCGATGACATTGGCGAGAGCACGGAGGGGACAAAGGTTGAGGTTACTGTCGGGGACATTGATTTGGATCAACCTAGAGCTGTGTTATCTCAGTTGAACGTTTGGTTGAATGATGAAGGTCAAGGTGTGGAACGAGGGGTCCAATTACGGAAGAGGAAGAGGATTATTCCTATGTGGAAGATCGTTGAAGCTAGTGAAGTGGTTAAAAAAATTTGCCAAAGACAACCGGACTTCGGACGTTAGACCCAATGAAGGCGATTCCGCATGATGATATGGTGAAATTGCTGAAACTTTGTTCGGAATGGCGCCATAACCCAAAGTAAGTCCTTTGTTTTTTGAGATAGAAGGCATGAGTGTATATATTTTGTAATTGTTGTGTTCTAAAACTTTTTTATATTCATAGTTTGGTGATGCAATTTGGCAACGTGGAAGCTGAGATTGAATTCTTCGCTTCCCTCGTCAAAGCTGACGGCTGGCTGAAAGGAGATGTAAGTTTAATTGATTATGCATTTGTTTGAATGTGCATAGATAATGAGATTGACAAGGAAAACATGTGCAGCACATTGATTTGGGCTTGTATCTCATCCGGAAGCGACAACAACAGTTGGAGGAAGTAGAAATATCGGATTGGACAACGACCGATGTATTTTTTATGGTATGTGATGCAGGATGCATAGGACCTAAATTGTTTAGTTTCCTAATTTATTGGTTAGTTTCCTATATTCTTTAGTTTTCCAAATCCTAGTAGGATTTCTAAGTTAGTTTTCCAAATCCTATTAGGATTTCTAAGTTTCCTATTTTATTAGGAATAGGATTTCTGTTTTACCTGGGGATTTTAATTCTATTCTCTCTAGGTTTTAGTTTGCTATAAATACCCCTGTGTAGTTCTTTACAATTCAGATTTGAATATTGATTAAACATTCCTTTAAACTCTCTGATTTCTGCCTGCCTTCTACCTTTTCTTCCCTTCAGCTTTTCTTATCTGTTATGTCTTATTGCTCTAAGTGTTTAAACTAACACACCCAGGGCTGTGCTACATCAGTATGGCATAGGCCTTGACCAAGTGCAGTTAATAATTACAAATTATCCATACTTGCTTTGTGGAGTTGTTTAACCATTGATTGTTTTCTATTTCACAGAATCACATCCATACTTGCTTTGCGGATAATAAAAGGAAAAAAGAGCAAGTTGGGTGGAAAATTAGAACCAGTTTAGTGAACGTTGTAAATGGCAAGGTTCCGGCTTGTGGATTGGATTGGCAGAACACGTATAAGGTGTATGTACCTTGTATGTTGCAAAATATAAGCATTGGGTGGCTCTAGAGATTGATCTGATTCAGTGTGAAATCAAAGTCTACGATTCAATGGTTTCACTCATTCCAGATCAGAGCTTAAAGGAAGAACTCGGCCCCCTGTCAATTACGATTCCAAATCTTCTGCACACCCTCGACTTTTATGAAGAAGGTGTTTACGCGAACGAGTGCACCCGAGATTGGTGGTGTCCATGGCCAATACATCGTGTGGATGTTCCACAACAGGCTAATCAGTGAGCACAACTTTTTATTTAATTTTATTACTTTAATTTGTCAATTATGTTAGAATGTCATTAGTTGAATTGATCGAGTTCTTGTTTTGCTTCAGAGGCGATTGTGGTATGTTCGTGTTGAAGTACATTGAGCTGTTGAGTGCTGAGATTTCCTTAGCTACTTGCACCTCGCAGAACATGCCATTTTTTCGGTTGAAGTTGGCTGCAGAAATTGCACGGGGAGATGCTTACATGCCATGATATCGGTTGAACTTGGTTTAGGCACATGATGATGAAATAGGTTTTGGGAATGTCAAATTTCAAAGTCATGTAAATACACAATAGAGACCCATGGGTCCTTTTCGAATTCCACCTCTGCTCCTGAATTCTTCTTCGTCTTTCTCAATCTTAGTGTATTTGTGTACAGAAATTTAGATTTAAGTTACTGGACAATAACAATTAGAACCAAAATAGTGGCAAATATTATAGCGGATGCATGCTTTCATTTTGATTAGTGTGATATTACGCTATGTGTATTCTCATATTGTGCAAAATGTATATGGAGCTGGTTGCAGAGCATAGAAAAATGAAGACTCTGAAATGGAGATGCTGAGGGTTGGAGAGGAGAAAAGTAACTGGATCTGTAAATCTATTGCACGTGGGCAATCTAAATGGATAGGCAGATGCGTTTTTGAAGTTAGACACATGCCATTCCCATACATAGAATGTGCATATGGAGTGTAAAGTTTTTTTTGATGTAATGAAACAAACATCGGTGTAATATTGGCCTAACTCCTTCACGACATTTACCTAACCTCAACCAAACTGCATTGAATTGGGATTTGAAGACTGCATATGTGAATTTGGATTTGAAGAATGCATATTCACATACGGACTGATGGCTTTTTAAGTGTATTACATCATTGCAAAGTGATATGTCATCATTTATCCAAGCCACCATTCCAAATATCAGATCCCAATCTTTAAGCCGTTGAACATGCCTTGACTTAATCGCAATGGGTTGCATCTTAAGGTAATTCTGTAAGGGGAATAGGCTGCTATGGCCTCGCCTCCAATATTTTATTCAACCATGCCCTCCTTATAGAAACACATGAAAAATGTCCCCAGGTGCAATGCTCTAAAAACTCCCTATTGGTTCCGCACTGCCCCTCGGGTTTGAATCCCTCTCTCCTTTATAATCGGTTAATAAATTGGTTGATTTTCTTTATTTTATTGGTTTTGGGCAGCTGAGTAACATAACAGTAATGTATATTGGTGCGTCTATATTGCATGTCTGTTGGGTCTATATTGCTTGTCTATTGCGTGCATATCTTTACATTTATTGCGTCTGTATTGATTTGTATTGCTTACGACGGAAATAAATAACAATACACAGGCAACAGACAAGCAATATACACGCAATAGATATGAAATATACACGCAATAGACATGCAATATACATCAGTCCCCAATTACATCAACCATAAGGAAGTCGTATTGAATAGGAAATTCTACTTAAGTTGTTCTTCCTACGAAAACAAAGAATAAGGACCGTTTCCCCCCTTAAATCTAACTGGAGTCCTACTTTTGCCCCCAATAAACTTGCAATATTGGAGCAATAACATGCGATATACATGCAGTAAACACTCAATCAACTTTCAATAAACCTTCAATATCGGTTCAATAACATGTGAAATACATGCAGTTAACAATCATGAAACCTTCACGAAACATGTAAACAATCAATAAACCTTCAATAAACACTCAATATCGGAGTAATAACATGCGAAATACATGCAGTTAATGAACCTTCAATAAACAGTCAATATCATGCGATTTACATGCAGTAAACAATCAATAAACAATCTATATACACTGAATAATTATGCAATCTTAAAAAAAAGGTATTGTCTTATTATTGCATCGTATTGGCCCTGTATTGTCATTTTATCGTCTTCGTCTGACTTTATTTTTGTAAAGTAACTGTAGGAAAGTTTTTACTGGGTTTCTGACAATAAATGCTTTTGTTTCAAACAATAATTTAAACTCAATGCTAATCCACCTATTTCAATAACAAAAATTACAAATTGGGTTTGAAAAGTCATTGGTGGTGCGTGCAACATGTGTTTTTGGGGAGAACTTTTACAATCCTTCAAACCGTGCACTTAATTGGTCATTAAAAGAACAAATAATATGACAATTGATACAACTAATAAAACTAATACCAAGTCCTTAATGGACTTCAGCATATTAAGCACTGTAGCATCATACGTGTCAGCTTGCTGATCTGCTTCAGCGGAGGTTACATCAACCCATTCGAATCCATTGCAGCTGGTGGCTCCCTAATTGCAGGCATCATATATGCAAAATAATTCTGTCAGAGTTAGACCTAGGATTTTTTTTCACCCACATACATATTCTGGAAATGAGAACTTACATAGGAGGTTAGACACTTCCAAAATGCCTTCCCGCGATTTTTATCTGATTTTGAAACCCGAAGCACCATTGCAGCTCCACAATACTGACACCTCTTTGTTTGAGCGGGAGATGAAGACGAAGACATGTTGAATCTTATCACTTGTACCTCTTCTCACTCAGATCTTCTCACTAAAACCTCTTCGGACTCATACCTTCTGAGTTATACCCCTTCACTCATAAGTCATAACCCTAAACTTCTCACTCAGCTCTCTCTCATCTCTGCCCAAATCGAATTATATCCTTCTTTTCTGTGTGTGGGTGGGTTGGTCACGATCTGGACACCTGTACCGTCAGAATTGTGACACATTTTACTCCGATAAGCGATATACTATTTCACAAACAATAATTAATCTTACAATTGAGGGGACACTGCTTTAAATATATTATTTTCTTTATATTGCATTAAGGCAACTAGTTGGATAAGAATCCGTCATTTAATAGGGGTAGTGTGGTGTGGGAAAATGAAAAAGTATCTGATGGGACCTTCTGTCACTAGTCAGTAATCCATCACATTTGTATCAATGAATTTAATGGCGGGAAAAGCCTAACAATGGCTATGGAAATAGGTTATTAATTGACTTTTGGACGGTCTGACTCCCTTTGCATTTTGATGACGTTTTCCCTTCGCCTGTCTTATGTTTTGGGTGTTGAGTTCAGTTTCTTTAAAAAGTGTCAACTTGGTAAAACCCCAAGGAAACACCTTTTCAGAACAGTGCAACCAGAGGCTAAAACAAACCCAAAACCCCGTATATTCTCATTTCTCCCCTCTTGCAGTCCTCAAATCGTTCCATTCCAAAAATATTTCAATGAATTCCAAACATTACACTACAGTCGGAGGAAAGAGAAGGAAGCATCGCGATCCGGATGTGCCTCAAGCCTTCATCCCGGAATTAGCTTGGTTTAAAGTGATGTTATACGTGGCAACCAACTCATCGGAAGATCTCTTTCGTATGGCATGTGTGTGCCGATTGTTCAATACGTTGGCAAACACTCCACAAGTGTGGAACACAATTTCAATGGAAAAGTACCGAGACCATCCTAACTGGTACTATGCCGCAGCGCAGGTCCGGCATTTCGTGGACCAATGCAGGGCTTGCCAGAACCCTGAGGCGATATTTAGAGAAGCGTTCGACATGTTTTTCAGGCAGGGTAATGTGGAAGCATTGTCTGGGATGCGCGTTGCAGCCACGGCAGGCCATATGGAAGCGTCATATCTAGTTGGACTACTTGGCATGTCCGGAATTGGTCAGTCAAAAGAGGATGCATTGGAATTCTTGTGTTCTTTGAATCAACGTAACAACATTGATATGAAAGGAACCAGGGATGCTTTGAGACGACGATTAAGCGGAATTTTCTCTGTTGGAAGACATATCGTAGATATGTTTCACTATGGGAAGATTAAGTTCAATCAGTGCAGCGCTTGTAACAACAACGACTGGTGTTTTGTTATTCCAGGCTGGCCTAGTGAAGAAAAGATCAATCCTGCCTTCTGGACTTGTTGCAATCGATGCAAATGGCACCGTGAGAGTGTTTTTTGGTTCAAGGTGATGCGTGTCTATGTTGTGCCAGGGAATCCATACCCTTATAATTAGTTGGAGTATGTTTCTACGGTTTTTATGCGTGTCTATGTTCTACACATGTTGTTTTCTATTTCATGTTTTAATCTATTTTGTCTGGTGTTTGTGCTGTCCTAGCCCGTTTTATATATAAATGTATAATATTTGCTATATAGTGGAATTATTACTGACATAATTGACGGCTAAGAATGACATTTTACTGACACAGATATTTTGCACAACTGCAATCTTAATATTTGGTAAACGAAAACGCATGCATGAAGTGAGTATGTGTCTTTTCACCGGTTCTTGGGAATGACATTTTCCCACTTAGCATATCCCAAATGATTGGGTTACACGTTTCTTAAGCAAAACTTGAACAGTTAAAGACTTTGAATAATTATTTCCTGATGTTGTAGAATGGATGGCTTGTATATTTCCATTTTATGTTTGAAAACATCCCTTACACCTAAAAAAGAAAAAACATTAACAAATTGAAGAAGAGAGAAACTGATTAGCACCAGAAATGGTCTATTCACACGGAAAATAAAAATAAAATTACAAATTTGGAGTAAATATAATTAACAAATGTACAAGCTAACAAGTAATATAACAATAATAATAAAAATAATTTTGGATAAATAATAATAAAATACTAATGTAGCGTAACCATGAAACAGGGAATTGAGGAGGAAGATGAAGTGTGAATGAGGTTGTAGCAATTTTCGGAACATTATTGTGATTTTGTGTATTTAGTTATGAATTTTCTAAGAAAAAGTCATAAAATAATAATTTAGGGTAAAAGGTAAGGATGTGGCCATGTTGACTGATGCACACTTGTCAAGGGGTGAAAGGTGAGGGGCTGAGATCGCGCCAGGTGTCCATGTGGCAATTATTTTGGCTTTTTTGTGCAAAAATCTTTGAAAAAATGCAATAAATAGTAGAAAAATCCTAAAAATGCCCCGAAAAATACTCCGGCCTCCGTGTGACGTTATAAAACGAGGGGAACCCATAGATCATCCATTTCGCAATTAAAAATTCAAAAATGATTTACATAACTCACTTTCCTCTTAACCCTAAGTATATATGTTGTTCACTTTAACTTCAATAACCTACTTCAACAAGCATCTCCCGTTAATGTTCGGAATTGTTTTTTAAAATGCGTAACCACTAATCGGGGAATTCAGCAAGGGAGATGGAGTGTCAATGAGGTCGTAGCAATTTTCG